CATTTCCTCGCCTCTTCAGCAGAGCCATACAGACAATAAACTAGATGAACAAAAGAGAAGGAGAATTCCCTCACGACAAAAGGGCCGCCTCTCGCAAATCGCTATCGACGCCGCGGGCCAAAATCGATCTAATCCGTGAACGCAAAGAATAGCCTTGTCCAGGGATAATGACCCTTAGAAAGCGTTTCCATTAAGGGCTTTTTTCCGGCCCTCTGTGCGCGGGAGGGATTTGGGAGAGTGGCAGCTCTTTGCTTCTCGGTCTTGCACGCCTCCGAGCTTCGATGCCCCACGGAAGCGGACTTTCACGAGTCTTAATTAACGGCAAGAATGGGAGGGAGGGAGGGAGAGGAGAGAGAGGAGAGAAGAGAGGGAGAGAGGGAGAGAGGGAGAGAGGAGAGAGAGGAGAGAGGGAGAGAGAGAGAGAGAGAGAGAGAGAGAGAGAGAGAGAGAGAGAGAGAGAGAGAGAGAGAGAGAGAGAGAGAGAGAGAGAGAGAGAGAGAGAGAGAGAGAGAGAGAGAGAGAGAGAGAGAGAGAGAGCAAGGAGAAAGATAGAGAGAGAGGGGGGGACAGGAGACAGACAGAAAGGCAGACATAAATCAAATAAAACGTAAATAAATAAATGAAACCAATTAAGAACGAAAACGAACCACACTAGCCACCACCACCACGCACCATAACAGCCCGCCAGGCCATACCCATCAAGTGGCACACCAGTTACCGCCTGACCCTTCAGTGCCTCTTGCCCCTGATCTCGCGTGCCAAGTGAAACCCCCAGCGACTCCCTAAAACAAGCCTAAGAAGCACTTCCTGGATCGTGTGAGTCATCTTCCTGGCCAGCTCCGGAGGTTCCGCCACGCTCCGGCGCGTTGGCTCGGGGAAAAACGACAAGAGTAATGGCGGTCATTTGGGCCCCCTTTTCAGACCATACATTCTGAGCCTGTTTCTCTTTCTTCTTCTTCTTTTCTTCTCCTCCCTCTCCCTCCCTCTCTCTCTCTCTCTCTCTCTCTTCTCTCTCTTCTCTCTCTCTCTCTCTCTCTCTCTCTCTCTCTCTCTCTCTCTCTCTCTCTCTCTCTCTCTCTCTGCTTCTCTCTCTCTCTCTCTCTCTCTCTCTCTCTCTCTCTCTCTCTCTCTCTCTCTCTCTCTCTCTCTCTCTCTCTCTCTCTCTCTCTCTCTCTCTCTCTCTTTATCTCTCTCCTCTCTTCTCTTCCTCTCTCTCTCTCTCTCTCTCTCTCTCTCTCTCTCTCTCTCTCTCTCTCTCTACCTTTATCTATCCTTATCTTTACCTTTATCTTTATCTTCCCATCTTCATCTCTCTCTCTCTCTCTCTCTCTCTCTCTCTCTCTCTCTCTCTCTCTCTCTATATATATATATATATATATATATATATATATATATATATATATATATATATATATATATATATATACATATATACAAACATATACCTGCGCATATGCATATATATATACATATTTTTTTTTATCTGTAAGAGAAAATAGGAAAACAGACGAGAAGGAAAACTGGAAGGCGGGGTAACTCCTTCATTTTAAGAGCCCAAAAGAGTTTAAAGTTCATCCATTCGCTGGAGAAGTCTTTCCACGCTTCACAGGAGTAGCCAATTAAACCCCATTAAGCTGATGGCAAAGTCGTGGGGGAAACGAATTGAGAAAAAGGATAAATAAGTATTTTTTTCTTAAAGAAGGCCAAGAAAAAGAACATTTTTCACCTTCTTCCCTTGTGCTTCCCACTTATCCCATTCGCGTCTCCTCGTCGATCAGCGTCCAACCGCCACGTTATAGCACTGTAATACCCCCCAGACGGCTTCGTCATCTTTAAGTCTAACCAGAACTCGTGTTTCAGAGCGAGGCCGGAAACCCGTTTTCCAGAAACTCTTTCCCCTCTTACTTTTAGGCAGCTCAAGCTACCATCAAAAGCACTCGCTGAAAGCCTCTCGCCCCTTCCTCGTCCTCTCCTCTTTCGCGCTCTCTCCTCTTTGCCTTGCCATCTTTATTCTGTTTCTTTGTCTTCCTCGTCGATGTCTTGCCTTTATCCGTTTCCTCTCCACTTCCCTCTTCAGACCACTCTTTCTCTCTTCCTTCTCCTGAGTGTCCTTTACATCTTTTCCTTCCCCTTGTTCCTTTTCCTACACACCACCATTCCCTCTTCCTCTCCCTTACACTCCGTTCCCCTTTTCCCGACCCCATTGTAATTGGCCGCATAGTTTTCCTCCCCACCGTCGCGCTCCTCTATCGCATCGAGAGCAAAACCAGTGACTTTATGTAAAAATAAAACCCGAATTTCACGCCGGCTGCAATATTCAGGAGAGGTTTTTTCCTATATCCTTAGGCATCTCAGACGGCCGCCGCAGCCGAACAGTGTGCATACCGGCGACCTCGCGGATTCCCCCCTCCCCCTCTTTCTCCCCTGCACGCCCTTTCCCTTACCATTGCTCGTGTCAACCACCACAGCTTACGACCGGCAAAAATGTCCAAACTCCGAAAAATGCCAAATAGCCCGGACACACGGAGCCGTCTCCATCACCGCCCTACCGCCGCCATGTCGCAACAAAACGTTCCACCAAAACAAACGTTCCACCATTCCACAATCACACCAACGTATTGCCAGATGCTCGCTTACACGGGGATGCATGCTCAAAAAAGACTCCTAGGCCTAAGCGAGATGCTACTCGGTGAGGAGGAGGGAGAAAGATGATGGAGGAGAGAGCAGAGAAAGGGGAAGGAGGGGAGGCGAAGCTGGCAAACCGAGAGAACAAAGAACACAGATATGATCCCGAGAATGAAATAGAGACTTGAGGGCGAGGCATAAAGATCGCGCGAGGGGTGGAGGTAATGGTAGGGGGATGGAGAGGGGGAGGGGGCTCTTAGATGAGGCTGATGATCACCCGAACCTCCGCCAGATGGCTGGCGATGGCACACCTGTGTCTCAGCGCCGTGTCAAGTCTGCCACCCCGTCACTGCTCTTCAGTGCCACTTCGGCAGACGTCTGTTTCGTAACATCCTTTCGTTATCAGGACCTGCCTCCCAATTATTCATCAGATTTGTTGAGGAGAATGAAGAATGAAAAGGAAAGAACAACCAAAATAGGCTATGTGTAAACACTTCGCGCGTGCTGCAATGAAAAGGTCCATACCGCATCGCCTGACCTTTCCATAATGATAATACTAATGAAGATTGCAACGACATTAGCACTGACAAAGACGAAGGCAGTAAGATGGCGATGACGAAAACCTCCCCATTCAAAAGAACAAAACACGCACAAATGATGATTAAAATAACCCTTATCGTGTATAATAAAAAAAATATTAATAAAGGGATAAAACACCGTCAAAACATTAATCAAAAGCAACAAAACAAACAAACAAAACAAAACTTTCCCTTCGCGACACCCCACAAGGAAAAAAAAGTTCACAATGGAACATGGATGGATCAATATACGGTCATGAACAGCCCTGCACGCCTGCACACCTGCAATCAATACGGCGAAATCCTTCATTTGCTTGCGCTACGCAAAACCCTTCCACTTAAATATTGGGCTCCATTAGTACCATTATTGTCGTCGTTAAGTGATATTACTCGATTTATTATCATAACTATCAGTGTTTTCGCTGCTTTTTTGTTATTTGTTATTTCTTTTATCCCCCTTACTTTGATTATTCCTTTGATTATTCTTATCATCAGTATTTCCATTCATACTATTCTTATGACTACTACCCTATCATTATCACCAATCTCATCATAAGCATCACATATTATAATCATCATTAACAAAATTATCAATATTCTCAACCCCAGTATTGACCTTTTTATCAAATTATTCCTTCCGCGGTCGCCTAGCGTCTGAATTTCCTTGCAAGACACTGGAGAAACTCATTAATTCCCGTGTCCCTTAATGAAGGCTGATCCTTTTCCCAATGAGAGATCCTTGAGCCCGCGCTGTATTCATAACATTCAAATTTCTCTCCTTATAACCCCCTCCCCCCCTTTTTTTCTTGTTTTTTTTTTTTTTTTTTTTATAAGAGCAAACTGATTTAATTTCATGTTGTTTTCTTTATAGGTATTTATTTTCTTTTTTTCGCCAGCGCTAATCTTACATAATTCCCGCGAATATTTTGTGAAACATGCCCTTGTCCAGAAACTATTTTGCAAGGCGATGGTGGTGGTGGCGGTGCTGATGATAGCGCTGCTGCTTATGATGATGATGATGATGATGATGATGATGATGATGATGATGACGATGACGATGACGATGATAATGATGATGATGATGATGATGATAATGATAATGATGATGATAATGATGATAATGATAATAATGATGATAATGATAATGATGATGATGATGATGATGATGATGATGATGATGATGATGATGATAATGATATTGGCAATGATGAAAGGAGGAGGAGGGGAAAATGGATAACGAAAACGATCATAGTCCAGATATCGCCCCCTCCTCCTCTTACCCACGCTGCAGCTGTCCCTACCGCATTTCCCATTTTCTGCCCTGGATAATGTAACCAATACCCCCTGAAATAAGCAATAAGAGTTAGGGTGATAATCCCATCGCGCGGGGAATGATCACTTATCACTCGCCCGTCGACAAGGTGGGGAAACCTACAACGAAATTTCTCTCGTACGCCTTTCTTCTTTCCTCCCGTGTACCATCACCATGGGAAAAAAAACAGAAATACTCAACAATGTTGATAATATTAATTAATAATGTTGATTAGCATAATAGAAGGAGAGGTGAATCAACACGCCTTTCGAGTGTCCTTCACGCCAGGGCGAGGAGAGGAGTAAGAAAGTCAAGTGTAGATTATTCGTAATTTTGCGGCAGAATAGATATCGTTTCGGCTGCATAAGTAAATTTCTTTTAATCTTAAAAGTATATACATGCATATATTACCGTAAAAGACAATCTAAGGTTACACGTAAAATAAATTAAAACACATAGGACATTATATCATATTTTACAATCACCTATTTTTTATCATCAGCATCTGCTTGCATTGCATTTACTTTGGTCGCGGACGAAAGGGACTGGAAAAAAGCTAATTGAGTAATCATCGAATGAACCTTGAGAATCCAATCCCATACTTTACCTTCAGTTCCCGGTATCGGAGGCGGCGGTCGCTGCGGCGGGGGCGGCGGCAGCGGCTGGCAGTAGTTGCTCTCCAGAATGTAGCCGCGGTGGTGCATCGTGTTGTTGTAGTTCTGGCTCGGGTACACCGGGCTCGGGTGGACCGGGGTGGGGTGAATCGGACTGTTGTAGCCTTGGTTGACGTGGACCGGGCTGTTGTAGCCGGAACTGTGATGCACTGGGCTTTGGTGGGCCGGGCTGTTGCATCCTTGATTAGTGTGGATCGGGCTCTGGCGGATCGGGCTGTTATAACCTTGGTTGACGTGGACCGGGCTATTATAGCCTTGGTTTACGTGGACTGGGCTGTTGTAGCCTTGGTTCACGTGGACTGGGCTGTTGTAGCCTTGGTTAGGATGCACAGGGCTACAGTGCGCGGGGCTGCAGTGTGCAGGGCTGTGGTGGATGGGGGTAAAGTGGTGTGGGCTGTGGTTGACTGGGCTGTTGGGGCCTGGGCTTTGGTGTGGGCTCTGGTAGGGGCTGTTGTAGGTGCTGCTGTAGCCATACGGAAGGTGGTTTCGGGCGTGGGCACGGCGGTGTGTGGCTGGGGAGCGGGGCTGCGGCTGATGGTGCACAGGGCTGCCAGGGTGGTGCGGGGGGAGGGGCGGCGGCGTCGGCTGGGTACGGGCGTGAGTGGGCGTGTGCGGGCGGGAGGGCGGAGGCGGCGGGGGATTGCATGCCACGTGGGTCCAATAGGGACACGCTTCCCCCTCGTCCTGCGGCTCGGGGAAGACGGTGTCCAAGTGCGGCCGGGGACCCCCGTCCTTCTTGCCCTTCGGCTTCCAGTTAAACAGCTTCGTGCAGAACATGGGCGCCATCTCGCTCCGTCGGCGTTCTCACTGATGGCTAATGCTAAATAAATAATCAATGGGAAGAATCCTATGCGCTCACGGACAGACCTCCTCCTGTTTCGCGGTGGAATCGAAGACGCGCGGGGCCTCTCAGACAGCTCCCGCCAGCGGCCAAGAGGCTGCAGACTGCGCGGCGTCCGTCGGCCCCCGTGGCGTCCCGAGCGAGCTTGCACCAGTCATGACGGCCATCCCCAATCACAGGAGCAATCTGCATCCAGTCGTAAAATAACCCAGAATTTGTGCATCGGCCGCTCATACACGTCTCCCGGGACCGTTTATCCCAAAGATCACAAAATATCTCGCTCGCAATATTCGCCAAACACACTAATCTGTTGCGCAATAAAGCCTGGCGGAAATGAAATGTTCCCGAGTCTCATTTTCTGGAATAACAACCATTACCAAACGTCAATCAGGCGTCGAAGGTCGTTGCGCCATACAGCCTTAGCAATCATGCCCCGGCTCTGTCGACGGGCACCAGTACCCTCCCCGGGGTAGGATGCGAGGCGGACGATCCTGCAAGACAGGAGAGTCAGGCTTCTGTCATGAGAGGAAGGACTGTCTGGCTGGTGGACAGAGGCAGGCCGCGTCCTCCCCTCACAGCGGCGTCCTTTCCTCGCTGCAATTGGGGGTTGCTAGGCGCTGCACACGAGGGAAGGGGAGCTCGGCTCTATTGTGCTTCTTTTCTCCCTTCAGCTCTCCAGTTAGTGTTTTATTCTTGGCACTCCGGCCATTCACGGTTATTGAGTCACACGCAGATAAAAAAGAGCGAATCGCAGAAAGGGCCTTCTCTCACGTTCTCATCCGACCCAAGAAGGCACCGGGAAGGTTCTATCCCTGGCATTCCATCCGTCTTGCTCATGACTAGCCGCTCATCCAGTGAATAGTTACACTCAGCGCGACGCGTGCCCTTCACCAGCAACGTCGGATCTATCCACGCCTTTCAAAGCTGCATCGTAGACCTGTGGCCAGGTATCGGCCATAAAATGCCCTTCGGAATAATATCATGCGGATTTCGTGTCTCTGAACAAGTTTCTCGTTCTTTTCTGCAAATTGATATTCTTTTCTTTTCTTATTGCTCACGAACTCGATTCAAAAACATAAATCAAACTTACTTTTCACTAATTAATCACTGTCTTGCTTTTGGCATTCCGGGTCTGCAATAACAAAAAAGCTAACTTCTGAAGTGGGTTATACCATCAACAAGAAACAAAAATCAATGTCTACAACTTCTCGAATTCATGTAACGTCGAGACGGATTCCCTCCCAGCGGGGACGGCGCGCGAGTCCCTCCGAAGGCCTGATTACTATTCCCTCTCAAGTTTCCACGGTTAGTTTGCCTTCGAAGGGGTGCTGCTGCGTCCACACTCCGGGTCCTTTCGCCGCTGGCCTCGATTAAACGACTCGATGACTTTTCCAAAGTAACTCGAGCCTCAGCCTGACATGACCCTGCAACCCGACGCGGAAGCGGAACGCAAAAAGTTTGGTGAGGCTAAATAGTTTTGAGTAGTTTAAAGAGTTTCTCTATGTAAAATTACAGTTGTGTCCATTAGCTTTCCTTTCTTGTGGCCAGGGTCTGGGTCATACTAAGTCAGTCATTCACTGCCACTGTCTTCGAGGGTCTCTCTTCAAATACTTTCTCTTTGCCTTTTGCATGTAAATGGTGTACTCCATTTATTTCACTTGAACTAGACTGACTGGGCCGCTGGGTGCCCCTTCCAATGCACCATCGGCCTCGGTTCGTCTCGGGTTACTCATGCAGGGCGATTCGTTAGGTTTATCATCGATGTTTCCCCGATGAATTATCACTTACGCTCAGCTTCCCTTGGTCTTCCCCTCATCTTGATGGAAGGGAGGGAAGGGGGAGGCAGGGGAACGGGAAGGGGAGGCGGTCGTGTTACAACAAACGGCCGAGTGACGCATCACTTTATTGGCTTGTGCGCTGTTTCCCTTCTTTATATCTCGGAATGTATTTTTTCCAGGGTATATATTCTGAGCCTTTCTAGTCTATAATATCTGGATCCCCTTCCTCCCTCAAAAAAGAGCGCATTCAGGCTTGCTAAAAAAAATTGTCAAATATAAATAAAAATGGCGGAGCTCAAGAGTGGTGCCCGAAGGCCAATATCGCTCTTTATCCGAAATACAATTCGGTATTTAAAAAACGGCAACCTGGTATTGTCCTATTCTTGTTTACCCAGAGTTTTGCATCTACTCTCTGGCCGTTCCCTTTTGTTCTTTCGCCTCGTTCGTCTTCCAGCTTCCCTCGAATCGGTCGCGTGGTAGCTGGATCTGAGGGGAATGAATCACCACCCCTCACTCGCGCACAGAGGGAGGTCTAACAATCTGCTACAACTAACAACGGAAACAGGAGGGGATTGTCAGTTATCGCTGGAGAGTAAGTCTCGCTTAAATCATAATAAAGTTCTAGTGTGTCTTTCATGTCAACACTTCCGATATGTGGAAGACATTTCGGACACGCATTTTCCTCTTTTTCTTCACCATCACAAAATGACAGGGGAGGGGGGGAGGGGGTCGGCTGCGAACTTCCCGTGACGGAGTTCGTAAAAAAACGAGTTCAGAAAAAGGAAACTCGGAGTTGTATCTTCATGGAAGTTTCTACAAGCAAATAATTTTTCCCGTCTTGGATATGCGTGCCACGATGCGGGACCTCCTGCAGCGGCCGGGACTGAGGTACCTGCAGGAGGCGCTGAGGGACAATCAGAGGAAAAACGAAGAGAGGAGAGGAGGAAAAAGAGAGGAGAGAGAAGGGTGAGCGTTGAGGGTGTGAGCTCGAGGTGACCGTCACTCAGGATTTGCTTTATCTGTACAGAGATGCAGCAGGCACTGGGGAGAGTTGGAGACAGGGTAGGAGAAAGGGGAAGAGGCAGAGAAGGAGGAGGAGTCAAGGAGACTGTCTGAGGATAATGGAAATAGAAGACTGTGTATGGGGCGAGGGGACGGGATACCCCCAACAAGGAAACAAAAACGAGTTCAGTAACCCAACTCTTCAGCGTGGATAATTCAGCTCATGAGCGCCAATTGTGAGGCCACGCGTCATTAAGGACGCCCGACGCTTCAGCACAGTACAGCGGGGGAACAGGTCGTGCTGAGCCGTCGCTGTCGTGCTGCTGAATTCCCTTCGAGCTCCCTCCTCTCACTTTGGCATAAACGCTCTCGTGCAGGACTCATCCCAGTTTCTGTCCACGGAATCTGAAAGCACAGAGGGGCTGCTCGGGCACCCAGGCACGGCTAATGTTTCTCCCCATTGCGGTTACAGTCCCCTCATGAGCGCCGGCAGCAAAAGCAGGGACAGCAGAACAAAGAACATGATCAGCAGAGAGAAAAACCAGTTCAGGAGGTCACCAGGTGTGATGCTCAGCAGATATTCCCGAATAGGCCACATGGGCTGTTATCGCGCTCCCTAAGGAACCCTCTAAGGACACTCTTGGCTTGGGCTCGCTGGCCTTCCCCCCGGGGAGGGATGGGACGCCCGGAAGATGCGAAAACGTCAGTCGTTCTTGAGGGGAAAATGCTCTCACTAATAAAGTCTCTTCGATTAATACTTTTAAATGCGATGTTTTTCTATCGCACTTATTTCACTCGTTTTTCCTGACTACTGTTGAAAAAAATGTTTAAAAATCGGACATTAAAAACATAACACAGCCTAAATAAACGTACAATAAATGATAAGCGAGTTTCGTTAATTCAAGTATAATCCGGAAGAGGAGACGGCGTACTTTCCGCGTCACGACTGAAGCCAAACTGAGGGGAACACTACAGTGAGGCAGCAAACCTCCGATGGGTAGTCGAGTTGCCGCGTCGGATTTTCCTCCCTAATTTTCTATTAATCTAGGCAATGTTGATTGAGCTTGGTAAATGAAGAATTTTCTTAAATGAATAAAGAACAGTCTTGAAAATCACAGCTCCGCACAAAGACACCATCAAAATCATGGCATCTAGACTCGCCGAGCAAGCATGATTCTGTGTGTTTAAAACCCACACAGCCCCACACACAGCGCCCCACCACCTGCCTTGTTTAATGCGCCTTGTTTCGTATGTGCCTTCCTCCTGAAACTCCCAGCCACGAATTAATTTGCAATAGACTTCTAGAAGACCGGCAGCCTTAAGCATCGATCTGGCCTGAGAAACAAATTTTAGCCCTGTCGGCGCCAGAGCTACTATACAAGATAAGGCAGTGCAAAAAAAGATGCTGCAAAGATTACGCCAAATCCAGTCCCGACCTGATATATACACTCATTCCCAGCCTACGAGATCGCCTGTGCATGTCGAGGTGGAGGTGCATGATAACAGTTATCTTGTATCATCTGTCATGCATTCCCGAGATCGCCATAAGACGGGCAATATGACAAAGGCGACAGACGGGCCCACAAAATACTACGACAAAAACACAGGCAAAACTGACGCAACTTAGACCGTAAAAACTGAGCACACAACCCGAACAATGAGGCGAGAGGCCCAGCGTAAACACTGCAATTGTGTGGCAACAATGGTGTGGAGGCCGTGTAATGGACAATGTTGCCATGATCCTGATGGTGACTACTCCGGGTCATGCATGGGCACATGCGCCTGCACGGAAAGGGGTAATTATGGAGAAATCTGACTTACCATATACGCTCACCCTTGCGGACGGGTGTACGTAAAAGGTGCACAGGCAGACGCACGGGCATTGCCTTTAACATTTCATACAGACATGTAGACAGTTGATACACACATACAAAGCGCGCGCGCGTGTATGTGCGTGCGCACGTGTGTGTGTGTGTGTGATTGAGTAAGAGTGAGTGAGCGAGTGTGTGAATGAGTGAGTGAGTGAGTGAATGAGTGGTTGAGGAATGTGTGAGTTTGAGTGTGTGTGCCCCTCTGTGTGAGTGAGTGAGTGAGTGAGACTGAGTGTGAGTTTGAGTGTGTGTGTGTGTGCCTGACTGTCTGAGTGAGTGAGTACGTGAGTGGGT